AAAAATATGAAATAATAGATAATTATTATTTATACGAAACAACAACGAAAATCTTGAGTAAAGCCAGTCATCCCAGCCTCGCTTCGATTAACTTTTGAAGATACACGAATCGAAAACAGCGGGGTTAGGGGTCAGAAGACTTTAAAAAGGGTACGCGAGGGCGGTTATTCCGCAAATACAAAATAGAACTCGTAGCAGTCCTGAATAATGTCAGTTAATAAAATATAATTACAGAGCCGGGTATTAAATAGCATTCGCGCTACATTTCCGAATAAATTTTAGCATAGATCCCTTGTCCATTCCCCAGAGCGAGGTTAAATAAAAATCGTTTTATTTTATAAAGTAGATCATTTTTTGAAATGCCCAAAAAATTCGCAGTGATTCTAACAATCTTTTTAAAATTGGTGACTATAAAGTCATTAGCGATAACAGAAAAATTCATTAGTCAAAATTTGAAAACATATGCACGGACTTGGCATACGCCATATCAAAATGGTTCCGTATAGACACAGGCAAACATAGCCGGAGTATAAAAAACATTTGTAAAATAGTCGCAGTAGTTAGCACAATCACAGCGAGGGGATGGCTCATAAATGAGTTACTCTGCTTGAAGGCAATCCGATATACGGAAAAACCAGCAGAATATTCTCGGCCGAAAAATTAATTAGCCTTTAGATACTTATTCTTGTGCAACAAAAGAGGAATTTAACAAAAGATTGCAAAATGTATGACCAGGCGCTTAAAAGCTCGGATACGGCAAAAAAAGGAAATACAGGTTTTGAAACGGGAGCGATTTAAAGTGGTAAAAAGGCGGATTCCCGTCCCCCCAATTTTGTCAAAGTCCCAAAATTTGAGCTTGTACTTGGGGTGAAGGGTATAAATTGACAGGCCTAAGAGGGGTCTTAAAAAGCGAAAATATATTCTTGTTTGACACTGTTAGAACTAATTAAACAATGATCCACATATAAGTCACCCGTTGCACACCCATAAAGAGACTACAAAAAATTCAAAAAACAGATGCAAAAAGAAAAAAAATAAAAATTTCAGAAGCACATTAAAAAAAACATCAAAGCCACTAGTTTGCAACCTATAAAAAGAAAAACACCACTAAATGTATCATTATAGGAAATTATAAATAAGGATACTTAAGACAGAGATATTCAAAACACATTTAGACAGATAAAATAAAAACGGCAAATAAACATAAGATCAAAACAGGACGGAGACGCAAAACTGATAAAATAAATAAGTAGCACAGATGAAGGGCCACATCTGGAGAAAAATTATGCACCTCGTTTATAGGAGAAGATACGTCCATGAAACCTAAACGTGGGAACAATGTTCCAGAAAAATGCGGAGTTCCAATAATCGAAAATAAGACTAAGAAAATCTCTATAAAAGTTTTTCTTTTGTTCCAAAATGTTATGCGTAATACGAAGTATGTTTGACGGAGTCAAGTTCCGGTTGAGAATTATTCTTGTTTACAATTTAGTAACGAAAATACATTTCTTCAGTATAAAATCTAAGAACAAGCAGTTTTGTTGGTGGAAAGACTAATTTGTTATGTTAAACAATTTGCCGAAGTAAAAAAACTTCAGATACAAAATTTTAGTTTCAGTGCCTGCCAGCTTGGAGAAGAATGAGTAAAGTAAAAATTTATTTTTCTTTATTCATTTTATGGTAAATTGTAAAAAATCATATGTATTAGAATTTTGTAATATACGTAAATACTTGAAAGTTATGTAAAAGTAGAATTTGTCTAGAAGCATAAAATTTAGATGCTAAAAGTGAATGCTTAAAAGCAATGAAGTCAAAATTTAAGTATTAAACTGTAAGTCAGCTTTAGAGCGAAAGCCTGCATGTTTAAAGAATGAGGGGGAAGTTAGAATGAATGTGTTTTTGTTAGGGTTCTCCACCTACATTTGAATTTTTAAGAATATTAAAGTAGCTCATTGAGTTGTAGAATGTCGTGTAAGGTGTGTCTATTTGGTCTTTAGTAATAGTAGATCATTTTTCAAAATGGATAGAAATTGTTCCACTTAAACGCGCGTCAGCCAAAACAGTCGCAGATGCATTCTTACACAGATACATTTTAAAATACGGTGCACCGATAAAAGTCATTAGCGATAACGGAAAACAATTCATTAGTCAAATATTTGAAAACATATGCAATGGACTTGGCATACGCCATATCAAAATGGTTCCGTATAGACCACAGGCTAACATAGCAGAAAGAGTTAATAAAAACATAGTAAAAATAATTCGCAGTTACGTTAGCACACATCACAAGCGCTGGGATGGCTACATAAATGAATTAGCTTATGCTTTAAGAACGGCACATCATGATACTACGGGAAAAACTCCAGCAGAATTATTTTTAGGCAGAAAGTTAATTACGCCTTTAGATAAATTATTCTTTGTGCAACAAAGAGAGCAGGAGTTTAAACAAAAGGACGTGCAAAAACTAATTGATCAGGCGCTTAAAACCTCGGATACGGCAAGAAATAGACAGAAGTTATATTATGATAGAAAAACGCCGTGAAGCAGATTTTAAAGTTGGGGATAAAGTATTGAAACGGGAAATTTTCTTTATCAAGTGCCCCAGACAATTTTATGGCAAAGCTAGCTCCAAAGTTTGAAGGCCCCTATGTAATTCAGGAAATCAAAGGAGTAGTCTTATATCTTAAAAACGAGAGAGGGGAAATCTGTAAAGCAAGTCCCGACCAGGTGAAAAAATACTATAATCCAAATGATTTTGAAATCCTTAAAAGTTTCTTGCAGGACTCAAGTCTAAACGAAATAGAAGGGCCAGAGACTGCAACAACTATTCCACCACCCAAGAAACGGAGAACTGAAGAGAGACCTAGCACTTCTACAACCCGGACGTCGGTATCAAAAAGAAAAAATGATTTTCAAACTCCGGCGTTTAAGAAAAACAAAAATACAGATGAACCGGGTAAAGAAACCGTGGTAAAGAGAAAACACCACCTACAAAGGATGGCAGGAGAAATTACACACATCAAGGAGAAACGCGCACACGGCCACAGAGTCAGGTGCCAGCAAGGCCGCCGTTCCGGAAACTGAAACGCCAACAGGAGGCACAAAAATACGAGGAACAGAAGAAATTCAAGAAGGACTCCAGACCGGAGGACGTCAAGACCAGCCGTCCCAGGCAGAAAACGCAAAAGGCCAACAACCAGACGATTACTCCGTCAAGAGGCCAGCATGTAGAGGACGCAAAAGAAAAAGCAACGGGGACGACACTCGGAGATCAATAAGGAGAAGATTGACATCCATGAAACCTCTAACTTGGGATCAATTTTGCCAAAAACGGATGACGGAGTTTCAAGCATCGAAAACTCAAAGATAAGTTAAAACCTTCTATAAATTTTTTTTCTCTTTTGTTCCGAAATGTTATGCATAAGTACGAAGTTCTATGTTTTGACGAAAGTCAATATGTCTCGGTTGAGACTTAGTTTTGTTTTACTTTATTTAGCTAAGGCAAAAGTATTATTTTCTTTAAGTGTAAAAGCTAAAAACAAGCATTTTCTGTTGGTCGAAAGACTAATTCTGTTATGTTAAAGCCAAAATTTGGCCGAAGATAAAAATAACTTCGTATTCTTGTGTACTAATAAGAATTTTAGTTTCAGTGCCGCCAGCTTGGCGAAGAATGAGTAAAGTAAAAATTTATTTTCTCTTATTCATTTTATGGTAAATTGTAAAAAGCATATGTATTAAAATTTTGTAAATGTATGTAAATACTTGAAGGTTATGTAAAAGTAGAATTTAGTCTAGAAGCATAAAATTGTAGATGCTAAAAGTGAATGCTTAAAAGCAATGAAGTCAAAATTTAAGTATTAAACTGTAGATAAAGTCATGCTTTAGAGCGAAAGCCTGCATGTTTAAAGATGAATGAGGGGGAAGTTAGAATGAATGTGTTTTGTAGGGTTCTCCACCTACATTTGAATTTTTAAGAATATTAAAGTAGCTCATTGAGTTGTAGAATGTCGAGTAAGGTGTGTCTATTTGGTCGTTGAATTCTAACAAATCATGGTGGTTAGGGGAAGTGTTGTAAGACTAAAACACGAATATTCCCGTTTGACACCACACACGGTGGAGAGCCAGGGTAAAGTTAAATTAATGCTTGAAAAATTGAATGAATGTGAAGTAAGCAATAACTAAGAAAAACGAATCGTTTAAAAAACAAAATTTATTGTGTCAAGAAAGTGTAAAAATTATAATGTATGTAGAAAGATACTGATACTTATTCCTTCCAGATGCTGGAAGGAAAGACCAAGATTGATTGATGAAGTCCAGGAAAAGTTGCTGTAAGAAGAAAGCTTTGTAACGAGCAACAGAATTTTAGTATATTTGTTACATAAGATTTTTTTTTTTGTGTAAACGAGGTTCTCGCCAGTTAGTTCAGAATTAGAGAAACTTACAACAGGTCGTTTGTAGGACCTGCTTCCAAGTTTTCCAAATTCTGGCAGCGGCAAATGTAGGGTTTATATTTATTTTAACTAACATTTATTTTAAGTTTAAACTATCTTTCCTGTCAAGCCTTACTTTCCCCTGGAACTGCCAATGCCAGAATATGTAAATTTGTAGAACGCGCAAGGATTCAAATTATCAGCGGAAGTATTCTGATTTAAATAGAAGGAAACGAGTTCGGTGTGATATTTTACTTAGCGAGCGCGGAGGTAGTTAGCGAGAATTGAAGAACCCCGCGTTGCGGCCTATGTGCTTGGCGGGAAGTAGTTAATCGTTCCAGTGAGCTTCAAGTCTGCTGAATTAGCAGCGGTATTGTAAAACGCGGTGAGTTAGTTATTTTAGAGAGCCTCGTAGTTAGAATCTTGTCTTTACTTTCTTTTCAGGTTATTATTTTTATTTGACTGCCGAGTTGGCACAGTCTGTAAGCGTCAAGAGCACGCAATTGTAATTTATTACGTTGAATAAAAAGGGACTTAAACCCTTCACAAGACTCTGTCTTTTACAAGTTTTCACAGTCACCACTTTGTTGCGTGCAGGTTGGAGGCGCGCAACTCTACAAGCTCATTATACTAAAGGAGTTTAGTAATAACTTGGGCATGAATTTGAATGTCACAATGTTTAAATCATTCTAACGTTGATTCAGTAAGTATTCGAATTTTATCGTAATGCATGTGTTATGAGTCAAAGTTTCCAACTCATTTTTATTAAAAGGTAGTTGATAGCATTCCCTCGATGACAGTTTTGAGTCCCAGAGTCCAGATTGACGAGATATTTGAATTTCATGCAATCATAGGCATAATTAGTTCCCAAATAAGTGTTTTCGTAGTGCCTCTCTCCAGAGCTTAGATTGCGTCGGAGCCCACTGGAGCCCAGCTGCGGTACTTCTCAGTTTTCGAGATAAATTATAATTTCAGCCGGAGCGTATCCGAGGCCTAAAAGGGCTCGGACACTTTTTTTATGTAAATGAACTACAATTTTAAGAGTTAAATTTGTTTTAATAGTAAACATCTTTTAAAAATTCCTTCTAAGTTCTGAATGCAGGGCTGTCTTTTCCTCGCACTAAAACCTTGCACAGAGTTTGAGATTTTTAAGGTAAGAAAAGCTCCCAATGGCATATCAAAGGCTTATTCTCCAGGATATGCAATGCATTTATAAGAGCGAGTAAATTTTATATTCCCCTGAAAGTACTAAAAGTGATACCCTGGTCGTGCACGTTCCACACAAGGGTCCTCCTACTGAAGAGCTCCTGTAGACTTTTTAAATGACGTAGCCAAAAGGGGGGACCATGACTGTCATTTGTACTGAGAAGTATTACGTTTATTCTCACACTGTTATTGGATCGTATTCAGGGAAAATTTCTTCTTGACAGTTAGAATTACATCGACAGAGCATCGGGATCAGAAAGTCTCGAACTCCTTCCTCTTCACTTTTAAAGCTACACTTTTCCGTTATAATTTCCTTCCATATCCTCATTATGTTTCTAGAACTGTCAATATTCTCCTTAGTGACGCTTTAGTTTTATATATTTTCATTATGTGCTACAAAAATGGAATGGCTTTTGTATCTGTCACCCTTCAAAGACTACATTATACATAAGACAGAGCCAGCTGCTTCTTAGCTTCTGAGTAGAATTGTAATTCCAGCTAGATAGGACGAGGTCCGACAATTTTTTATTTAACTATTTAAAATTAATTTAATAATGTATATAACCAGAGGGCCATGTAAACTTTACATTTAACCAAGCAAATAAGAAAGAATTATAATTATAAGAAAAACACTACATGGAAGAATTGCATGTCAAAAGTAATAAAGGTAACATAAAGCAATTACTCTCTTGGATAAGAGGAAAAGTTATGTCCATGCAAAAATCTGTCGAATCTCTTTTACTAACGGTTCAGATGTTAGATGTTTGAATTTTTTTTTGACTGTTGCCATTTAGCGTTAGGTTATAGACTCCCCCTCCGGCTCTGATGACGTCTCGACGAAGAGTCCGTCCGCAAGATATTTCACATTCATCTCTATGAAGAGTAAACCGGGAATCTTTTGATGGCGAGTTTGAAATGATTGATTTAACTGCACAGAATCAGGATGATTCTCCAAAGCATCAATGAATCGGGATGATTCATTTAACATGGAATCAGGGTTATTCCACTGACACTTCACAGAATCGTTATGATTCATTTAACATGGAATCAGGATGATTCCCTAAAACTTCACTGAATCAAGATGAGTCATTTAACATGGAATCAGGATGATTCCCTGAAACATCACTGAATCGAGATGATTCATTTGACATAGAATCAGTTCTTGAAAAGTTCATTATAGGGGGTTGGATCCCCCCCCCTGGTTTGAAGCGACTCTCGAATTTTAAAAGCCAAATCACAATATCAGATCCACCCTACTATAAAAGAAACTTTTAAGTAAAAATTTTGAAAATGTCAAATAGTTGAAGGCAACTTTGACAGCACCTGTGAATTACTATTTGTTTATCTTCATACTTTTGCTAGACGACTGCACTTAATGCAATACATTTTGAGCCACTTATTTTCCTTTTCTAAATTTGAACTTTGTTTCTTATGAGAATATTAAAAAGTTTCTTATGAGAATATTAAAAAGTTAGAACAATCATTGGTTGTAGAACTGTTATGTCAGTTGTAACCAGAGCCTTTCAGCTTTTAAACTGTTTCCTCCATCTTCAAGGCCTTATATTTCTTTTTCCAAGCCTCTGATGAGTTGCTCCAGTTTTTCGCAGGTTTATCAAATAGAGTTTAAGATTTCTTTTCTAATCAATGATAACCGAGACTAATAAGATTGAATTTAGGATCTGGAGAATTTGCACATTTATTCTTTGGTTCATCCGTTACCAGTAGCTTTGACTTTTAATGACGTATTTTCAATCATTTCCGTTCTGTTGATTCATTTCTTTTATTCTCAAATATTATTTCTTTTTATTTAGAAAATTAAACTGCTTTCACTCTATGTTAAACTATCATAATCAATTTAACTTTATATAAAATACAATTCCTACTTACTGCATGATTGCTTTACAATAATGCAAGACAGACATTGGATTAATCCTTCATCCTAAGATTCCTCCTGTTAATTCCAGATTGTCAAAAATCAAAATTTTCCATATCACCAGGGTGGTATTTTCTTCTTTTTAACGCAAGAAGAGCTCGAAGAAAAAATTGCGCTCCTCTTTCGGTAATAAGTTTTAAATTTTTGAGGCTTCGGGCCCACTGTTTGGGCTTCCAGTTTATAACCAGAGGGCCATGTAAACTTTACATTTAACCAAGCAAATAAGAAAGAATTATAATTATAAGAAAAACACTACATAGCAGAATTACATGTCAAAAAGTAATAAAACGTAGCATAAGGCAATTACTACTCTTGGATAACATTAAAAGTTAGGTCCATGCAAAAACCTGTCGAAATCTCTTTTACTAACGGTTGAGATGTTAGATGTTTGAAAAAACGTTTTTGACCGTTGACATTTAGCCGTTAGGTTATAGACTTCCTCTCGGACTCTGATGATGTCTCGACGAAGAGACCGTCCGCAAGATATTTCACATTCATCTCTATGAAGAGTAAACCGGGAATCTTTGATGGCGAGTTGAAATGATTGATTTAACTGCACAGAATCAGGATGATTCTCCAAACCATCATTGAATCGAAATGATTCATTTAACATGAAATCAGGGGTTATTCCACTGACACTTCACAGAATCTTTGATTCATTTAACTGAATCGGATGATTCCCTAAAACTGACTGAATCAAGATGAGTCATTTAACATGGAATAAAGATGATTCCCTGAAACATCACTGAATCGAGATGATTCATTTGAACATAGAATCAGTACAATTCTTGAAAATTTCATTATATGGGGTTGGATCTGCCCCCTGGTTTGAAGCGACTCTCGAATTATTAAAAGTAAGCTTTCTCCCTTCCAAATCATAGTATCAGATTCACCCTACTGTAAAAGGAACTTTGAAATTAAAACTTTTGAATCGCAGAATTGTTCGAAGGCAACTTGACTGCAAATGTGGAATTACTATTTTGTTTATCTTCATTACTTTTGCTAGACGACTGCACTTAATGCAATACATTTTTGAGCCACTTATTTTCCTTTTCTAAGTTTGAATTTTGTTTCTTATTAGAATATTAAAATGTCTACTAGAACAATCATCTGTTGTAGAACTTATGTTGAAGAACTTATGTTATGAATCATCTGTTGTAGCCTTTCAGTTTTTAAACCGTTTCCTCCACTTCATCCTCAAGGTCTTATTTTTCTTCTTCCAAGCCTCTGATGAGTTGCTCCATTTTTTCGCAGGTTTTTCAAATAGAGTTTAAGATTTCTTTTCTAATCAATGATAACTGAGACTAATAAGATTGAATTTAGGATCTGGAGAATTTCCACATTTATTTTTTGGTTCATCCGTTACAGTAGCTTTGACTTTTAACGACATATTTTCAGTCATTTCCGTCTGTTGATCCATTTCTTTTTTATTCTCAAATATTATTTCTTTTTATTTAGAAAATTAAACATGCTTTCACTCTATGTTAAACTATCATAATCAATTTAACTTTATATAAAATACAATTCCTACTTACTGCATGATTGCTTTACAATAAATGCAAGGACATTGGATTAATCCTTCACTCCTAAGATTCCTCCTGTTAATTTCCAGATTGTCAAAAATCAAAATTTTCCATATCACCAGGGTGGTAATTTTCTTCTTTTAACGCAAGAAGAGCTCGAAGAAAAAAATTGCGCTCCTCTTTCGGTAATAAGTTTTAAATTTTTGAGGCTTCGGGCCCACTGTTGGGCTTCCAGTTTATAACCAGAGGGCCATGTAAACTTTACATTTAACCAAGCAAATAAGAAAGAATTATAATTATAAGAAAAACACTACATGGAAGAATTTCATGTCAAAAGTAATAAAGGTAACATAAAGCAATTACTCTTGGATAAGAGGAAAAGTTATGTCCATGCAAAAATCTGTCGAATCTCTTTTACTAACGGTTCAGATGTTAGATGTTTGAATTTTTTTTGACTGTTGCCATTTAGCGTTAGGTTATATATATTAGATTTCTCTTTATTTCTTTACATTTTTTTAATTTAAATTTACTTATTCAATTATTTTAATTTGTTGTTATTTTATTTATTTATTTTTTCTTTTGTTCCTCACAGTTTTTGACAGGGCTCCGGCACTTCTAATTTTAGAAATTAAGCCCCTGCCTTTCTCCGATTATATCGTCGTTTTGTAAACATGTTATATTTTGGTAAATTATTATTTTTGCTTTGGCACTTATGCGTGTTTCTGAATGTAATTCCCTTTTAATGTATCTGTATTTTGGGTACGGTGCTATACATTTTGCTAACATTTTTCGCTCTTTTACATGTTCAGTTAACAGCTGGATATTTTTTTTTTTCATCAACTCGGCAGTTTCTCTATTTACTAGGAGGTTACTGATGTTATTAAATTTTTTTCGAACATTGTTCACAATGCTAGAAATTCATTAGTGATATATTCGAATGTAGTACCTAATTTTTCGATAGAGGTAGGTCCTAGCGACCAGTACTCCGAGGTTGCACCATTCGTAATAACTAAGCAAGAAAACACATGACCACTTCTTAAAAAAAATTCTGCTATGTTAGCTGTGTTTGAAAGTGCGTTTTCAAGTTTTTACTTCACTTGATACTACCAGAATATGAGATATGGAACGGGATGTAACACCTCATCAATATATCAGCTATTGTATACTAAGTATCTATGAATAATTATCTATTGATGTTGATAACAGCGTCAAATCAAGACTTTACGCTGGTTTGCGGTTAATGGTGCCAAATGGTGATCTCGACAACCACATCATCTGAAATTTTTGTACTAAATGACCGTCATCCTGAGGCACATCTGAGATGAACAAAGAACACCATACTGTGCATTCGTCACTTTAAGTAAATCTGATACGTTAACACATCAAGCATTTCCAGTTACGTTTTGGTTTGGCTTGGTTTATTTGATTACAGCAAAGCCTCGAAGGCCATCTGCCTAAGGAGAGGAATACTTTCGTGGAGGACTTTCTAAGTGAAACTGGCTCATATACACGTTGCATGTGAGGAAAATCACGAAAACGTCCATGCAGCCAGCCAGCTCGCCGGGATTCGAAACCCGAACCAAATAAGCGTTTTACCTCTCTGCCGCTCGTGGGCCAGTTATATTTTGGTGTTAGTAACAGTAGTCGTAAAAGAAGGCTTTTGCAAATTTGACTAAGTCTATGAGAAATCATGAGACTTTGGAGCATCGAAATATTTCAATATCTCAATAAACTCCATAAATTTTTACTAACTCTGGATTGTATTGCCAGTGTCACAAAATATTAGATGCTCTGAGCTGTGCGTCGTAGGGCTTAATTCTCAATTCGATGAATCATATTACTTATGTCATCTCAAAATCATATCTGCTGTTATTCTACCATATTGAAAACTTGACGTAGCGTCACGCAAAATCTAACCTGCCACTCTTAGGCCAATAATTAGAAAACTCCTCAGTTTAATGGATTAGCATTAGAAAACTCCTCAGTTTAATGGAAACATTAAGGACATCTGAAAGTTAATTTCAACTTAAATCTTTATCCCAATACGTAAAAATGTTAAAAACACTATCCCCTCTCAAACGTTACAGACTATATTTCCCTCCTTTTATCACATTTTCAAATTACATCATCAATTGGGGACTACAGAAAGTGCATAACTGGTTTCTATGAATATATCTCAAAATTTCCATATTGTTACCACAACATTTCAACTTCACTACATTTGCTCTGTAGGATAGTGCATTGAATACAAAAATAAATAAATAAAAAAAAAAAAATTAAACTTTCAGATTTTACATTGCACCCAAAGGTGTTTTTTTAACTTTTAGGGTGTTAACTCTATTTATTAAATATCCTGTTCTTCGCACGTAAACCATAAAATTCAGTTCAACAGCAATATCATAAAATACTTTTAAAATGAGCATACCTTTAGAACTTCCGATACATAGTCTCGCGCGCTGGAGATAATTTTTTTTCGTACAGTGTTGCCATTGCTCGCTTTGAGTTGGTTAATCAAAAATTCGTTAAAGTATTAAAAAATATGAAATCGATAATAAAACAAATTCCGAATTAGGACTTCCTGATGCCTATATTCGGTGGAAGATTACGGTATTCAAAATTCGATGGCTTTAAGTACCGTTGTTTTATCACAATGCGAGAAACATACATACATTTATGAATATTATTCATCATTTAATTTCATTTGATAAAATACAAGGCTTTAATATTTGGTGGTAACAATTTGAAAAGTGAACCGACATTTATAGTGAATCAACGCAAAATGCCAAAACGAAATTAACAGTGCTTCTGGGCAAATTGCCACTTTGGACTAATAAAAGTGATACGAAAGGAATGACGTTTTGGTTGGAAATTCTATACTAAAGATAAAATCGGAAAATTCTCTCTGGAAATTTTACAATTTCTGAATTTACTTTTAAATAAGCATGCAGATTAACAACAGAAATGATAGTAAATGAATAACAGACAGCAGTTATTTCGAATCTTTTTCAAAAAATAATCCAACATGAGATTTTTCAGTCGCTTTGCATATGACTTGTTTGGTTTTTGCTTTTAAAAAGCATTTATTGAACATAGAGGTTATTACTATTATTATTGTAATAACGACTGTTATTGTAAATAATCCATTATTAGAAGGAGATTGAAATTATAAGTTTTTTAATTGCAGAGATTACTTTTTCCTAATAAATCTCCAATAATAAATACTTGTTACCAGTAAGACTTGAAGAGTTACTTGAAATAGCATTAAAATAATCTCAGATTCACAAAATATAAAATTTTAAATGTGAAAATGAAAATTTGTTACATATTATATTAAAAAAGGAACTTAGCCTCTTATTACAGAGACACCGGGAGCTGACCGATATTTTTACGTCCAGGATGTATCGTAAGGGAGCAAAAGATTACTGCATCCGCAAAACAAGGAAGATGTCATAAATATCCAAATCTTATTCGAAGACCGAACTCATGTCCTTAGCACGAAACCTATCAGTCAGCCTCTGCTAACCACCATATCGAGTATGGCTGTAAACTGGCTGTATCGTCGTCCCGATACTGCAAGGATCCAAAGATTATTTATTTCGGTGTGCCTTTGAATTAGTACTACCTCCCTCCAGATTATAAAAATATAATAGTGAACAGAATAAAGAAAAATACAGCATAGACTTCAACTTAAAATATAAGAGAAATTCAACATGACTTGAGTAATTTAGGCAGAAAAACGAAACTCTTAAGCATAGTAAAAGTTTGGAAAATTAGGATAAGTTAATGAGTTTCGAACTCGTGACCTGACGCCGCTAACCACTACACTAGGTAAGAAACAGCAGGTTTTGGTTTTTATATTTTACATATTTTTTGATATTGTTTTAGCGTAAATACAATACTAAAGATAAAAGAAAATAGAATAGCGTCTAAGATTAATAGTTTTTTTGGTCTCAAGAACAGAAAACAGAATTTAGCAATGTTTATGGTAAACGCCGAGAAATATCCAAGGCAGAAATTAATCTGGGGAAACAGATGTGAAAACAACATTGAACAGATAGATAATAATGTATGAGGTCTTTGAAGATGCTGTAAGTGAAGAATGTGAATTGCATAGCACTTCTGAAGTTCATTTTGAGCTTTTTTATTGCCTTGAAACAGGAGCTCCAGTAGCGGTGTCAGTCAGTCATTGAGTAAGTCTGAGTTGGTATTGAAAACTGAGGAATTTGTGACCTAAGACCAACATCAGTATTGTAGAATGGCCAGGAAGGCCACTAACTGTAGCATGGCCACTAACTGACCATTTAACAAACTTTCTTGGTGCATAAAAAAATTCGAAGTGATAAAATGTTCGGCCCATAAGGATAAAAATTAACGAAAAATTCTTACGTAATTTAAAACAAAAGTTCTGTGCAAAGATTGGATCGAAAAAGTTAAATTTGCTAGTTGAACCCAGTCCTGAGAACTTTCGCAGGTGAAGCTCCGCTCACCACTCAGCTATCATCGTTGCTGGTCAAAAGGGAGGGGGAAAAAGTATCATAACCGATTGTCACAACCCCTATCGTCATAACCAATCATAATCGATCGTCTTCGCAGGGAAAATAAGGACCTAATCTGTCGTTTCCTTGTTCAGTTTTTCAAGGATAGCTGCAGCTTTTAGTCTTACGTGGATTTTATCGATTATAGATGTGGAATTTTTAACTTGTAGGACTAGGTCAGCTTTTTTTTTTTTTTTTTTTGTAGTATCGTTGTGTGAACACAGTGATTCAAGAATTTATTTGACATCGGAAGGGTTAGTTCATTGCTTTCCTGCCAGAAAGACACTGTAGGCTGAAATGTTTTGACGGAGTATCCATCTTTCTGAATCATAGCTGGGAAGTTTTCTTCGAGAATCCACATTCAGTCATCTATTTGAATTTATATTTGGAATCGTTCGAGCATACTTTACAGGATGCTGAATGACCTTTTCCATTGCAGAGAACACATCGTTTGGAATTATTTGGGTACACCTTATAAGTTGCTGGGGGATTTTTCACTGCAGAGAACACACTTTGCTTGTTTTGTTTTATTTGACATGTCCAAAATGTATTAGAATTAATCGTTTAATCGAACACATCGAAGCTTATTGAAACAAGGCTCTGTGCATGTCGCTACAACGGAAGCACTATTTCGTGCTTGGAAGAGGTTTGAAGTTTTTAGTCGTAATACCAAAAAATTTATGACGTTAAAGATTGCTTTGTTCTCTGCATTTCGAAAGAGATACACGAAATAAATAGAAAATAATTATACTTCTCCATCTCTCATTCGAGAGAAATGATTTATTTTGGATGCGGGTCTCTTTTCCGAATGAAGTTCGCTAAGTAAGTCTCGTTCTTGAATATCATTCGACATATATTTAAATACAATTTAATAGTTTGTTACTGGAAAGTATAAAGGCAATGCCTATGTCCTGTAAATATCTTGCTGCCTTGAGATATTCAACTGGAGTTTTAAATTAAATATTGATTGACCTTGTTTAACTTTTTCTTTAATCTCGCCATCACAGATGTTGGCGATTTTTTTCATTCATGCTTTCCAGTTTACTTAAGTTTCTGAAAGTACTGTAGCCGGAGTTTTGCAGGGTTTGACTGGTAATGGTCCTTGTTTCGGAGCATTGTTTTCATCGAGTGTCATCATCTTTGCTGAGAGATTCATAATTTGCTATTCTTGCGAACACTTTTCCGACTGGGAGTGACAGCACGGATTTTCACAGTTTTCGTGTTTTTTCCCATGAATCATCATAAAAAAGTGTAAGGTATTTTATGTTAACTAACAAATTATTATGATTTAAGCCTTTACTCTAATTTCTCTGTTTAGTTTTCCTCAGCAGAGTGAAAACTGGTTACTTTCATGTGTTTAAGTTGAGAGTTTTGAATGTTTAGATTGGAGCTTCGGGCAACCGCGTTTTGCTATTACTTATTCTTTCTTGTCAGTTCTGTTTAAAGTAGCCTTTTGCTAGGCGACATTTTAAAAATACGCTCCAGTGAGCATTTGAGCCAGTTTAAGTAATCTATTTTACATGTAATCTTAGGCTACGTTACGTACATTGAAATTTAACGATTTTTTATACAAGTATTAATTTAAATACAAACAAAGTAGCGGTAGCTCGTTTGTAGCACAAGCTGTGATTGTTCTGTTCAGTTTCCGATTAAATAATTTATTGATTCAACCATCTTCGGACTTTATGATTGTTTTAGAACTCAGCGATACTTCATTATCAGTCTCGTAGGGTCCGAAGGACTTTAACTCAAGCTTCTAGATTCAGTATAACCCTATAAAAACTTCAAATTTGAGGAGCGGGGCATCGCCTTTTGACTAGAGGGAAGATACCGTGTTTCCAGATAGCCAATCACGGATCTTGGTTGGCTTCATATACAGGCATGTTTTGAAGTATACGATTATCAGTCTGTCCGGTTTCGGAGAATTAAGTTTGACTGAGACTTTTAATTAAAACATCGATGGCTTTAATGTTTAGGTTCGAATGAATCACATCGCTAGGGAAGCACTAGGGTGTTTTAAGGGCTAAATGTAAGGTTTTACTTTGAAGTCTTGGGAGTTTCGTAATATGTGTCTTTGCGGTGGTACCTACGGTTTTAGCGCATGCATACATAAAGATTGAAATCAATGCAAAAAGAAGAGCATTGATGCAAAAAAGAAGAGCTTCGTTTTTGATTGACGTATTGCTTTTCAGAGTCAATAATGGGAATAACTGAGTTCTGACTATCTTCGCTTATTTCAGTGAACAATCAATATGAAGACGCCTGATTGGAATCGAATATTACTCCATGATATATATAAAAATTATATCAACGGATATCGTCCACTCCAATATTCTAAAGAATGTGGTGAACTTAATTTTTCTGTAGAAATCCGATGAACATCCTTCAAGAGGAACTTGTCATGCAACCCGCTTCTAAAGGATAAGCTGTTGCTTCGTCTCCACATTCTAAAGAACGTGGACAACTTTACCTGGTAGAAGAAACATTCTAGATCAGAGATTCTCAACCAGTAGGGAATCCCCCAGGGGGGATTTCATAATTTCAGGAGGTCAATGTGGTCAGCCTTTTATCTACCTGTTAAGTATTTAATTTTATTTTATGGCTATAAAAAAGTACTTTTATTCCAATTTGATATTTATCAACATTTTCTATATTTTTTCTTGTTTAATTTATAAAAAACATTAAAAATAATCTAAATTTAAACGAATGTATATGTATTTTTCTAGTTTTGGAAAGAAGAAGGGGGATGATTACCTAGCATTAGTGAAAGGGATGGATAAGGCAAAAAGATCGTTCTGGACCAATCTCGAAGTGAGACTTGGTTGCCCACTGAAAGTAAGGCACTGAATTTTCCTTGTTACTAGAGAATGGGACCTAACTTCGAAAATTTCGGACCCAAAACTCGGTCCCGCTGTTTAACATCAGTAAGACTGACCTTCGCAAAAACTGATCTAAAATTATATAACTGAAATAAGTGCTAACTATAAATATCAAAGCGTCTCTAGCATAAATTAGGATTTTTATTTTAATTCAACTACTTTACAAGACATACCTTTCCGAACAAATGTGACACTATCCGGGTTAGAATCAAAAAACTTTTCTTCAGAACCCAGCAGAGTTTTCAATCCTTGCGGAATATCGGGATGGTTGAGAACGTAGTCTCGAGGCAAAGCTGCAAGTTCCGCCACTTGTCGATTCATCATTTCTTTCATACAATCAAAACTGCTGTATTTGATAATATTATTCAACAATTCCTCATCGTTTTCCAACATTTCCTGTAAAAAATATAGAACTTACAGATGCATAAAAAAGGAATTATGTTTCATAAATGCAATACAAAATTTAAATGACGCAGCCTCAAATTTAAAGGAATAATGTTTTTTTTTTTTTTTTTTTTTTTTTTTTTTGTATATTTAGTCGACCCAAATCGAATTTAATGCTATATCCTCATTTGTAAGAAAAAGCACTATGAACTGAACTTGTAATGATGTTTTAGAACTATCTTTTAATTACATTTTAGAAAGAATATAGTTATTACTGAAATTTTCTTTTCTATTCTTTTATTTCAGTGGATTAAGGAGTATTTTTTGGACATGACCAAATAAAGAACCAAGTGACTTTTAACAAGGCAGTTATTTTTTATCATTTACCAATGCCATTTCAACTTACTAAAGAGGAAAATATACTATAAAAAGTTTAATTAAATTTTATAACTTAGTTAATCTTATTCTGTTTTTTTCATGCGAGGAAATTTAACTTGGATACATTAACACATGCTTGCTAGTTATTACATGGAAAAATCACATATCATTTCGAAAATTTTAAATCTAAAATTTATCTTTATAGAAAACTCTGAGATTTTGAAAGAGATTGAGCAATAGAAAAAAAAAATGTTTCTAGGACAACTGGAGCTTTCCTTTTAATCTTTTTTGAAATACATTATGTCAAATGTCTGAATATGAAATCTATCCTTTTAGACATTTTTATATTTTCTTTTTTTTGTAGCGGTTTTATTCTTATTTGTGGCAACAGTTCAGTTGTTATTATAATATTATAAGGTATTTCTCCCGCTCCCCTAGCGTGCCTTCATGGTGTAGTGGTCAGCACACTGAGCCGGTATTTCAGAGGTCCGTGGTTTGATTCCCGGCGAAGGCGGTTGCACATTTTTCATCTTAAACAAAATACCTACTGCTTTAAACAAAAAACCTAATGTCTCTACAATATCATGAGTATGGGATATGATATCGTGAGTGCGGGATATTCAATTGTTATTATCATATCGTGAGTAGGGTCCGTGACTCTTAGTCGACAACCACTTAACCGACACCATTTAGCCGACACGGACAGTTAACCAACAGAACATTTAGCCGACAAGGGCACCATTTAGTCGACACACAGAATTAGCCTTCAGGACATTTAACTACGGGACATTTAACTGGCAAGTGATTCATTCAACAGAATATTAAACCGACAGTGACGTTTAGCTGACACGTACCCAATAATTATTTAAACTTACTATCAATTACAAAATTTCTCGACTTTTTCCATAAGTTCAACATCTAAGTCATTTTTTCACCTATCAATAAAATTCATTTTTTGATTCTTAAAAATTTCATATATGCTTTTAATTCTTGTGTAACTTAGCACAGTTTGATATATATCGTATGCTTTCAATTCTTGTGTAACTTAGCACAGTTTGATATATATCGTGCTGTTTGGTATATATTCACCAAATTGAAAAAGCTTTGAAATTTCTCGTTGAATTTATAAGGTATTTCTCCCGGCCTTCCTAGCGTGCCTTCGTGCTGTAGTGGTTCTGCACGCTGGGCCGGTATTTCCAAAGGTCCGTGGTTGGATTTCCGGCGAAGGCGATTGCTCATTTTTTATCTTGCCTGCTTCCAAAAAAATACCTTATGTCTCTATAAATTAATTTTCGAAAAAAAAAATTTGAACACTTTCACAGCAGTATAATTCTTCTTGTTTATTTAATGATATTAATTTTCCTATCTCGCTCTTCCCAATGCTATCAAATTTCTAATACCTTTACGCTTCATTACTATTTTACTCAACACATCATGCTACATTCCTCTCCTTATATAAATCGTTCCGCTTCTCCCACTACCGACATTTCCTTTCTCTGTCATGAAAAATCTGTATAATGCAATTAAATTTATTGTTAATCCTGAATTATATTTTTTATAGAAACATTGGCGGTGAAGGTTTAGTTTAGCAAATATATTTTTTGCTATTAAAAACAATTAAAAAAGAGAATTTTTATGAGTGTAAGGATTATGTTAATTTTATTGATAGTTAAATTTTGAGTTAAACTTCCTTTCCTATCGATTCTTAATTTCAACTTACCGCTTCCGGCCAGAACGTAATTTTAGAATCACGTCTGAATGCTAATGAGGAAGAGCGGTATATAACCGTGAAATTCTACGCTCTTAGTGAGAAAGATACCAGATATTCTGGCTGCACGCGTCAATTGTAGGAAATCCCCACTGTGTAATTCTAAGTTACAGTTAAAAGTGAAGAATCTTAAGAACTAGTAAGAGGATAATAGCTTGAGTTCGTGTACAGGAAATAACAAGTAAGAAGGGTGAAATAACCCTTTATTATTCCAATTAAAGTTTAACAAAACTCCGTCTTGGAGTTGTACAATAAAGCTGATACTTGAGCTTGAACTTAAGAGACTAAGAATTAAACTAAACTAAACTAAAAGAGATATAGCCGAAGCTATCAAAATTCTAACATAGTTGGCCCATTAACGTTAATTGACTGCGAAGCTATCAAGGACTTAAAGTACATCCGAGCGTAATAATAGCTTATCAGAGAGTAGCCTAAAAAGGCGGACGCGTGCAGCCAGAATATCTGGTATCTCTCTCACTAAGACCGTATAACTTCGCGGTTATATACCGCTCTTCCTCATTAGCATTCAGACGTGATACGTTCTGGCCGGAAGCGGTAAGTTGAAATTAAGAATCGATAGGAAAGGAAGTTTAACTCAAAATTTAACTGTTAATAAAATTAACATAATCCTTACAAGAGAATCAAAGCTTTAAATTATTTGTGACCTCTATAATAGGCAGTTCATACCAGCATTCTTGTGATAAAAATAAACAACTCGTATAATGTCACTCTAACTGACTTGTGTTTGGTCAGCTCTGCATCTGTAGTAATGGAATGTGAAAGTATTAGAAATCTGAAAGCATTGGGAAAAGCTAGACTCATTGTCTGCTTAATGTCCTGTCGGCTAACTGTCTGTGTCGGCAAATGTCCTGGCTGCTAACTGTCCTTGTCGCCTAAATGTCCTGTCGGCTAAGTGTCCATGTCGGCTAAGTGTCCGTGTCTTCTAAATGTCCTGTCGGCTAACTGGTGTCGGTTAAGTGTCTCGGCGGCTAAGTGTCCGCGACCGTCGTGAGTGTGCGTGTGTGGTGATCCGTGTTGCCGCATAAAGAAGACAGAGACTGTCTGTCGAATGATGCGCATTTGAAATGATAATAATAATAAAAATAATAATATAATAATAATAATATAATAATATAAATAATATAATAATAATAATTAAATAATAATAATAATAAGAATAATAAAATATAAGTAATAAAGTGAAAATGAAATAAAATTAAAATTATAAATATGATTTTAAAATAAAGAAAATAATATAATAATAAAATAAATAAAATATGAAAGCTTTCAGATTTTATATATTATTCACAAAGGGGCGTTTTTTAACGTTTCCTACCTTTATTTATTAAATATCATCTATCACTTAAACCATAAAATTACTTTTAACAGCAATATCACAAAATATTTAAAAACAGTGTATCTTAAGAATTTCTGGCAGACAGCCTCGCGCGCTAGAGATTAAAATATTCTTTCCGTATAGTGTTGCCGTTGCGCGCTTTGAAATTGTTAACTTTGTTAATAAAAAACTCGTTAAAGTTTTATAAAATGTGAAATAGATACAAAAACAAATTCGAAATTCAAAACTCCGGCTTTCAGGTGTCCATGTTCGGGTGGACGATTATGTTATTCAAAATTTGATGGCTCTAGATACCGTCGTTTTTTTATAAATACATACTTTCATGCAGATTCTTCATTACTTAATTTCTTTAAATATAATGCAGGGCGATAGTATTTGGTGGCAATAATTTAAAAAAAGTGATTCACTGTGTAGGGATTTATATTTATTACTAAAAAGTTAAGTTTAATTTTAAGCTTTCCTATAAGCCTTCATTCACCTGATTGTGAATGCCAGAATATTTAAATTTGGTAGCGCGCGTGAAAGAATGCAAATTCTACCTTGAGGAGAAAATGTTTAAATACCGAGTTTTAAGAAAGGAAGTTTAGAGTGTTGAGGCTATTGCTGTCACCTCTGTTTCGTGAGCTTCTATTCCCGCAGTTATTTCTGGTTTACGTGGCGTATCAGCTTTTACTTAGCTGTCACTAGTTTCGACGCGGTTTTAAGTAAATGGAGTTTTCCGAGCCCTGTAACGTGATTTCCACTACTTGTTAATATCTTCGGATTTTTATTTCAGTTCTTGTGATTTGAGTTACCACCCGAGTGAGGCGTACTGTGTGAATTTTAAAGAGTTTAATAAAGGGTATTTTTAACCCTTCTCCCGTGTAGTTCCTACACGAACTTACGTACAGTTGTTACTTAGAAGATAAACAAGTGGTTCTCACAAGGCGTTTATAGTGAACCGATGCAAAAGGCCGTTTCGAGACTAATAGCCCTTCTGGGCTAACGCTCCTCTGGTCTAAAAAAATATTGTGTGTTACGTCTGGTTGAAACGTGCATCACCTACTTGTAATACTGCTGTGTCTTGTACGTTTTTGAATAAGTTCAACTCACTGATTGTGACACCAGGAAGAAGAATAGATTTTTGTTCAACTACACGGGTGTCGGCAAGTTTTTTTTAGAAAGGGTCAAGAGGAATAAAAAGAAAATCTTTATTTTTTTAAATTTTGAAGTGATACCTTTATATAATATTTATGCATATTTTACTGACACTTTAAAGAAAAGAAGATTTGAATATTCAGTCACGCCTATTTATGTAATTCTTTTTGGTTTCGGAGTGAAGTTTTATCCATACTTTTCTTACTATATAATAATAATAATAAAATGACTCAATGAATGAGTTCAATGAAAAAATATATTTTTTCGGAACAGGAAGAAATTAATACCACAGAGTAAAAGTAAAAATTAAGGTTACCTTGCAAAAAAAACAGAAACAAAAGGAAAAGTTACATTTCTCTTAACATCTCATGAGAATTGGTTCTACGAGAAGTAAACTCTCCATTTTAATTTTGCTGTTTCCTTTTATTTCTTAAAAATAGTAACTGCTTATAATAAATCCCTCTAAACTACATCATTTCCAAATTAATTCTTGTTATATGAGCTTACATAACGCTACTAATGCTTTCAATTAAATAAACGCTTCAGAGAATATGATCTTCGTCGGAACCGAAACTTTTCATTAATATCCAATCCAGATAAACAAACCAAAATCGCTTTGTGAACCATATTTTTTCTACTTCTTACCCCTTCGTACTTTTCTATTATTGACTTTTATTGTCATAAAGAGTCTCGTTCTCTTTGGGAGCATAAACTAACGAGCTCCAAAAAGACTGTATGGGGGATTACCCCCAGGTCTTTAAGTACAATGGAAAGTCGGAAGAAGCATGTTAAGATCCCTTTATTCACTCGGTGTAACTTAAAGTATGGCCCCATTTAGGTTTACACAAAGCCAACACTTCTGGCTTAACTCAAAACAGGTAACGATGAACTTCTGGCTTAACTCAAAACAGGTAACGATGAACTTCAAACAAAATATAATAAATCAGCTTAACGGCTCACAGGATAATTTAAAGCGCAGGAAGGCTCTATCATGTATAAGTGGGCGGAAAACAAGCCTAATGGCTAGAAGAACTCAACGCAACCCAGCAGTCTAATCGCTAGTAATTTCAAGCATGCATAATATGCTCTAAACTGAGCTTTTAAAACATTCCCTTAAATAGCACTTTTTTCTACCCCATTTGAATACACGCGCGCTAGCTTATTAACATTCTGGCAAGAAAGCGTGGGTGAAAATCAGACTGAAAGAAAAGTTTCTTTAACTAAAAATTAACTTTTAGTAAAACTAAATAAATCTCCACAGTCAACAATGTCTCTAACATTACTATGAGAGAAACTGATTTAGAGACTAACATGCACCTGATTCATCATTCATCTTGGAAACAAATTATCTGAATTGTGATATTTGATAATACTGTAACGTGCTTTATGTTAATTAATCAGTTATTTTGATTTTGATCTTTACTAGAACATCTTCCTTCTGGAGCTTTATGTTAATCAATCAGTTAATTTGATTTTGATCTTTACTAAAATATCTTCTTCTGGATTCTTCATCAGAATGCAAATTAACTTTAAGTATATATAAGCTGAATGTTTTGAATCTTACTGACAGAGAGCTTTTGGCACTCGCGTAGGGCTGTTAGAATTTTGCCACCTTTATCTGAAAGCAACTATTCTAATTTGGCATTTTTTGTTAGTTGAATGTTTTAACCTTTACGTGCCGGTAAATTTAGTTGAGTCAGCTTAGCATAGTTTATTGACTGTGTAGTCGTCTTAGATTACTTATTAACGTTTAAATTGAATTGAACAACTGACTATTATTTTTTAATTTCCATCGCCACAGGTAGTGATTTATATGTAGCACAAGACATACCTCATATGTTAAAAGTTCAGACTAAATAAAACGGTTGTTTTAACCTCCACAAGTCTTTACCATGCTATTTCAGACGTAGTGATAACTCTCTAATTTGTCTAGTAGGACTGTAAAATTTAAATTCAGTTTACAGATCAAAACCAACTTTACAGTACAGTAGAATATTATGGATCCTTTTTTTTTTTTTTTTTTCATTTTTATGAATTTTTTCTCTTTATTCTTTTCTCTAGTTTCTCTCGATGTAAAAATACGCACACAAAATGCTTACTAATCTAACTTTCATGTTATTTATAAAACTTCTGTTTGACAGCAGGATTTCGAAGTCAAGTCCTCCTCACCCCCTTAAAAAAGGTATAAAAATTACACGCGAATCTCCAGATTTTGGGAATATTCATGCTTTTGTTTCTTATGTAATTCAAAGGTCAAGTACCCTTTCTTGCAAGTATTATTTTCGCAAGCGTGCAATAAACAGTCATGCAGTCAAATATTTTATTTAAAAGCACAGTTTTTGAGCATAGTTTTTTTTATTTAAAATTTTCTGTGTACTTCTTTTTGAAATTTTAAGTCAAATCAGTTTTAAATTCAAGTCATTAATCTTATTATTCCTACAGATGGCGAACAAATTTTGGGTGTTATAGAAATAATTTACTATTCATACCTTAAATATAGTGTTTTCATATTTTTCTACTTCCATCAAAACTTATTCAGGCTTGTAGAAAGTGTGTATTAAATATTACTAGTTAATTTAAAGCACAGTACAGATATTTGTTTACCTATATGCTATTTTTATATCACTGTAATGTAGAATGTCGTGAAAAAGAGAAATACTTATTAAAATTCAAAGCGAATAGGATGGCTATTTCTCAACGAATAAGTAAAAAAATTTTTTTGCTATCAAATTTAAACAACTAACTGAAATACCAACTTACTTTAATAAATAACTTACTTCGTATTTCGGTCCCATAAATTTTGAAATTTTCAAGATAGAGCCTTTGACGTCCTTTTTTAATTGTTCATAAGTGATGAAGAGTACATTGGGATCATTCCTATGTTCATACCAAGATAATAAAGTATCAAAGTAATCACCGAAATCCACTTTTCCTTCCATAAATAATTCGAAATAATCATCAAATTTGCCGTTCTGGAACTTATAACCTATAATATTCTTCGTATGATGATAGAAAGACACACAGCAATCCTATTTGAGAACAATATTTTTTAGTTGGGAAATTTGATTTAATAAACAAAGAAACATACATAGCATATTTATAAACTTATAGTTATTAATTATAAGATTATTGTTTCTCATTAGATAAGACATATATATTTTAAGAAGAATATTACTAACGTTGAATCTATTTGCATCATGATGAGCTAGCATTTCACCTAATTCAATTTATAATTTCGATTAAAGTTTAACCAGAATCCCGTTGAAGAAACAGAAGAATTTCAACAAACTGAAGCACTTCTACCATTTTGTAAGGAAGGAAAATAATTAACTGCTGGACACCTGAATATTTTCTACTAAAGAATTGCAGGAGAAATGTTTTAATAATCAAGTTGTTTTATAATTCTCGTCTTAAACTTTTAAAATCTTCTTGTTCAAGTATCATGCGCTATGTTTTTCTCAAGAATAAGTGCTATTTGTTTCCTATCTTTTTCTTCTATGTTAATGTAACATTACGCATTTTAAACAAGTTTCAAATAGCAATTTTAATACTTGTAACATCTAGATTCTACTTTTGTTAAAGTAACTTTACGAATTTTAAGCAAATTGCAATTAGTAATTTTAATACTTGTGATAGATAGATTCAATTTTTATGTACTTTTATTCTAGTATATTACGAGCTTTTGCATAAAAAAATAAATATAACATCTCTCGAGTAAAATTCAAGAAAGGATTTAATTATTAGCATATTAATGTTCTTAATTACTAGCATATTAATATTCTCAATTACTAGCATATTAATGTAATTAATTACTAGCATATTGAAGTTCTTAAACAGGGTTTTGTTTAAGAGCTGTGGTTTTTCTGAACTTGGTTACTCAACATATACAGCATGCCCATGGAAATCCTTGTGCGGCTTTTATTTTTGCATGGTGACAGACATACATTGCCAGTTACAAAATGTTTTGAATAGCATAATTATTTATACTTTGTGTAAAAAATTAATTTTTTGAAAATTACGGAAGCTAATATTTTAAATGCTTTCCTGGTTCTAAAAATGTATACTGTTTCTAAATTATAAAATATAAATCATTTGACTATTGTATAGAGACTGTTCGTACATTTTTTAGACAATTTTGCTTTTCTATAAAAAAGTTTGTATTTAATGAATGGTATTTAAGTGAATGAAATAAAAAGAGGTCCATTGTTATCATCAAAGAAGAGGAAACACTATTAAAACACGGTTCAAAGAATCTAAAGAAAGGTTTTCCAAGGGATTTATGATTGTTGCTGGTTTTTCATATAAAGGTAAATTAAAAATAAAGAAGGCAGAGAAAAATATTAAGATCAGTTTCGCATATTATCAGGAACATATCTGATACCCAGTTTTTAAATATGAATTAACTTTCCATCAGCCACAGTGCTATCAATCGGTAGAACTGCATCAAGACAAAGCAAATAGGCACACGTCAAAATCCTTTGTTAATTTCATGGAAAAAAATGGAACAAGGAACGGGTATTAAGCCTCTACCCTTCATTCATATCCCTAACTAAATATTTTGATGTATCACCAATGGAAATTTGCAATTTTGGACTTGTAAAAAGCGAATTATCCAAACGTCGACCTCCAACCATCCTTGGTAGAAAGTCTTCTACGAAGACATCCCTCCCCTTAGGCGGATAGTTCTCGAGGCTTTGCCGTAATTAAATAACCTAACCTAACCATCCTTGGACATTGGAAAGCTGTTCAAGAGGAATGGGATAAAATACCTCTCCTGACCCTATAAAAAGCTCTATTGATTTTGAAATTACGATGTAGAAAGATAGTGAAGCATAAGAGTTATCAAACAAACCATTTAAAACACAAAAATTTAAGTAAAATATTCCTGTAAATACAATGAAATTCGTTTAAAAAATGTGCGAACAGTCTCTGTACCGCAAAAAATTGACAAAGTTATTTAATTTCAAATTTGGTATTTTTGTTATTTTTTCCTTAAGGGACACGTTCCTTAAGGAACTTCAGTATCATTGTTTTGTGATTATTAGTGCGAAACACGTTTTAATTTATCATTTTGTTTCATATGGTATGACGAAATAATTTTTACACAAATAATTTATAAGTACTAAAATTACCTATTTTAATTCTTATGCAGTTTTATTAATTTAGAATCTTAATTTAATAGTCATACAAAAATTCACTATCGAGAAATATTTCTCATTTTTAATAAATGCAAATAATGTTTCGAGTTGGCTACATGCCATTATTTGAAGTCTGCCAGTGTTTTCTAGAGCACGGATCCTATAAGATTCCAAGAATAAGACTGCCTTTAAAGAAAAAAATTGCACTGTTTAAATTCTTTTACGATGATCTGCACATCAGCTACTCGTCACATAATCTGTTATGATAAAAAACTTTTTCTGAACTATTTCGATTTCAGTTACATACAAATTTAAGTATTTCTCTCTTAATTTGTGTACGACCTTTGAATTTTCAAGAAATATGATCACAAGTTTTAAAATTTAATGCCTCGGTCAATTTTGTGTCATTTTTGTATTTTATCTTTTTGAATGAATATAAACGTTTACGAAACGTAACTGTAGGGATGAAGAACCCGTATAAAAAGTTGAATTTCCCAATTTTTACTAAATTGACTTTTTAAAATTTAAAAAAGTTGTAACTTAGAATATTTGCGTCATTTAAAAAGCTTTCTGTAGTTGGAAATACATTTTTGCGAAAAACGGTTGCGAAAATAAAGACCGCACACGAGATTATATGGACATGGAGAATATTACTGATCTGGAATTTAAAATATTTTTGATTTGACCTTACTAAAAACACTTTTCTAAGAAAAATATCCTTAATAACGTAAACGCGAATTCATGAAGCTATTCATAACTTAATATGCCGCATTTTATTAAACATTTAATATCCTATAAATTTTTCCTTGCTGCTTTTCAGGCAACACTATTAAGATTTTAATTAAAGACAAAATATAATTCTTTTTAGGAATTATATTTTGTCTTTAATTAAAATCTTCTGAGCAAGTAACATCAGACAATTTTCTAAATAATTTTTCTGAGCAACTTCAGTTTTTTTAATCAGTTGCAAAAAATTAAACATAATTTTCTCTTTCAGTTACATTTCTTTAAAAATCTTAATTGACACGAAAATTTATATCAAGCATTTTTATATTTTGAAGTTCTAACTACAGTGCGAGTCGAAAATGTGGTTACAAATTTGATCATGACTATATATAATAGTCATCATCTAACTATCATGACTATATTTAAATTAAGGGGAATGAGAAAGTTGCATGAAATGTCATATGTTCAAAATGAAAAAATCTCATGTGAAAAATCCCCATGCCTTCCTTGTATGGAATATTAAATTACACACATTTTCCCCTGCATTTCATTTAAACTTATTTTCTGGAATTTCATTAGGGGTTTCCAAACTCAATTACTTCGGTTCTCACTTCGCGGCAAGGCAAAAATACATAAAAACTCAAAATATTGTCATTAAAAATTGAAAGATATAGCAAACATAGAACACCAAATACAGTTAAAACAATTAAAAAAATTTTGCAATTATAATTACAGTTTCTACACAAAAACAAGCAATTCGGGCAGCGGGCAAGAAGACAGATTTTTCGGTGCGCAAAACTAAAAGTTAACTTTTGGTCCCATTCGGCAAAAAGACATTGAGGTGCAGAGAGATTAATTCACTATCCTACTAAGTTTCAATTGTAAACAAATATGGTTGCTATGATAAAAAAATTAGGCTTAGCCGCATTTAAACAACCTTTTAAATTTGATAAAAATAGAGCGTACCGGCACAAGAACTTAATTAAAACAAATAATTAAAAAAAGAAAAACACAGGGTCATTTTTAATTTTTTTTTTTTTATTATAACGTTGCGCGCCTCTAACTAGCACGCAACCAAGAGGTGACTGTGAAAGCTTGTATAAACCACAGAGTCTTATAAAGGGTTTAAGTCCCTTTTTATTCAACGTAATAAATTACAATTGCGTCCTCTTGACGCTTACAGACTGTGCCAACTTGGCAGTCAAATAAAAATAATAACCTGAAAAGAAAGTAAAGACAAGATTCTAACTACGAGGCTCTCTAAAATAACTAACTTACCGCGTTTTACAATACGGCTGCTAATTCAGCAGACTTGAAGCTCACTGGAACAATTGCAACTACTTCCCGCCAAGCACATAGGCCGCAACGCGGGGTTCTTCAATTCTCGATAACTACCTCCGCGCGCTCGCTAAGTAAGAATAACTCACTCTCACCGAACTTGTTTCCTTCTATTTAAATCATAATACTTCCGCTGATAATTTGAATCCTTGCGCGTTCTACTCAAATTTACATATTCTGGCATTGGCAGTTCCAGGGGAAAGTAAGGCTTGACAGGAAAGATAGTTTAAACTTAAAATAAATGTTAGTTAAAATAAATATAAACCCTACATTTGCCGCTGCCAGAATTTGGAAAACTTGGAAGCAGGTCCTACAAACGACCTGTTGTAAGTTTATCTAATTCTGAACTAACTGGCGAAAGCCTCGTTTACACAAAAAAAATCTTATGTAACAATTATATATTAAATTCTGTTATTCGTTACAAAGCTTTCTTCTTACAGCAACTTTTCCTGGACTTCATCAATCAATCTTGGTCTTTCCTTCCAGCATCTGGAAGGAATAAGTATCAGTATCTTTCTACATACATTATAATTTACACTTTCTTGACACAATAAATTTTTGTTTTTAACGATTCGTTTTTCTTAGTTATTGCTTACTTCACATTCATTCAATTTTTCAAGCATTAATTTAACTTTACCCTGGCTCTCCACCATGTGTGGTGTCAAACGGGAATATTCGTGTTTTAGTCTTACAACACTTCCCCTAACCACCATGATTTGTTAGAATTCAACAACCAAATAGACACACCTTACTCGACATTCTACAACTCAATGAGCTACTTTAATATTCTTAAAAATTCAAATGTAGGTGGAGAACCCTACAAAACA